TGTTTAACGTGATGCATGACGACATCCAGCGTGCTTAAATAGCTCACCAAAAGAGAAAATGCTGAATGCTTTTCCTATTTCCCTTTGGTTCAAATGAAAAGGATAATTGTCGTGGTTCTCTTTTTACCTTTGTTTTTTTTTTTTTTTTTTTTTTTTTTTTGAAAAAAGAGATCAATTTGTGACTTTGTAGGGCGTATAATACATACCACATCACCAGGCCGCTTGCCTGAATGCTGAGTTTTTCTCCACGGCAGTCGATCCTAAATTAGTTATCTTTAAATTTAAGCATGAAGTTAACTTTTGCACTAATTAATTAACTTTAAGCATCATATCTCAAAAATTTTGGTCTTTATATTTTCCCCTAAACATATCTCCATTGTGTTGCTCTACATCTTTAAAGATGCACTTAACTTTTATACAGTGAATTGTTAAAAATATATCAATAACTTTAGGTTATAAAAATTAGGAGCAATAAGAGAAAATAAAACAAAAGAAGATTAGGGTTTTGGAAAAGTTGACAATGACATAGTGGAGGCTTCTCCAATAATTATAAAGTGCATGTTACCTATTCCCCCCACTTTTGATACCTTTCGATAGCTTATTAATTAACGTCACTTCTCTTCCAAAAAAAATAAAAATAAAAAAATTAACGTCACTTCACTCATTGTCATAAGAAGAATTAAATGGATAAAATTTCACAAATGTCAGCATTGAGTATAGGGGTGGTTCGGTATGGGATCCCATACCGAAACCATTGTCCCGATTCCCAAACCGAAATTTTTGGGAATCCCAAATTCAATCCCAATCCCAAACCAAATTTTCGGGAATCCCAATTTTCGGGAATCCCGAAATAATTTCGGGATTTCGGGACAAATCGGGAATCCCAAAATGCTTTTGGGCTTTTGGACTAAAATTTGACATATTATGTTTTTGGGCTAAAATTTGACATATTATAAAGTAATAAATAAAGTAACAAACTCAAAAGCAAAAATAGTAGTTACAAGCCAAGGTTTATAAATAAAGTAACAAACCCAAAATCAAAAAAATTAGTTATGAGCCAAAATTGTGTTGTATTCTCCTCACCTCCCAAATTAGCCGTGTCTAAAACAATAAACCACAAATCATTTACATTGAATTATAGTCTAATAGATAATAAATACTAAGAAAATAAAAGAGGAAATTAAATTGTTTACAACTAATAAATAATGAATAATTCAAATACAAACTTTTCATATCACTAACTATTAGTACTAGTTAGAACTTAAACTACATCAAATATTAAGGTGCATCAATTATAACTATCAGTATACCCTTTATTAACCTCCCTATAGTGAATTACACCACATCAGTTATATTAATTAGTTTTATTAATGTACTAGTTTATCAATTAACAATATGCATGCACAATATTAAGGTACTAGTATAATATATGTATACTGATATATATAATCAAACTTTTCTGATGAACTTAAACTAATATCCAAAGATTAATCACATTAGTTGAGACAACTGGAATATAGAAACAAACAAAAGATTAATCATATTTATTTCAATTCGGTATGGGAATACCGAAAAATGGAGATGGAATACCGAATCCCATACCGAAAATTTCGGTTTGGTTCGGGATTACATACCGAAAATTTCGGGAATTTTGGTTTGGGATTTTTTTGGTTTGGGATCGGGATTTTTTCGGTTTGGTTTGGGATTTTTGGGATTTTTTTCCAGCCCTAATTGAGTATGAAGCGTATTTAGCGTTTTGAAACAAGTGATATTCTATAACTATCACGGATAATTAAGTGGTTTGGAAGAATTTTAGGTCTGTATTCCACTACACATTTTGGGGTTTGAATCTTGATCTTAGTGAATCACACATAGTGACTAGTAAGAGACTGAAATGCTTCTGTAAGTCTTTCTAGCTCTCAAAAAGGTGATCTACCGTGATGAAGTCATCAACTAATAAAAAAAATTTAAAGAAAAAAAAAGCTATATTTTATATGAAAGGTATAAAATCATTTCCAGCTTTCAAAAATGTAGTCTGCCGTGATGAAGCCACCAACTAATCAAAAAAATTTTAAAGAAAAACAAACAAGCTATATTTTATATGAAAGGTATAAAATCATTTTCAACTCTCGAAAAAATGGTATGTTGTGATGAAGCCACCAACTAATCAAAATTTTTTTTTTAAAGAAAAACAAGCTATATTTTATATGAAAGGTATAAAATCATTTCTCATTTTGTTATAATCAGACGAATAAAATGTCATAGTTTTATGCATTAAGTACTGATGCGTATTTTCATGTTTTGATACAAGCAATGTTTTGTATTAAGTTTATCTAAATTACAAAAAGAAAATTCAAACTTCATTGCCGAAGAAGAAACACATTGCTATAGCAAACTCAACTAGACCTATACCTGCAAGCGTATTTTGGTGTTACATGAACATAATACATCGACGATCATGACTAAATAGTTTGTTAATTAAGAGACAGAAAAATATACGAATGAACATTATCCTTATCTTTTAGACACCTATGAAAAATGGTCGGACCACGGCAGCCTCCATCTTCATGGAGAATGTGACATCCGATCATCATCCAGTTCCATGCCTTGAGTGAGTAAAATGCATGCAATGCTGGACCAATTGCTATTGTTTGGTTTTTCATACGATCGACACAAGATGATGGTGACATTGCAAAGAGTACGGAATAGCTGCCTCCACTTTGTTCTTTTTAGTTTCTTTTTCATTTTTGTCTTTGAGTTACCTTTTTCCACAGTTTCAGTTTCATCAAAAGGTCGAGAGGATGGGGAAGTGATAGCAGACGAGATGGTGCTCTCCTGTTCTTGTTTTGTTTATGCCCAATTGGCAGAAAAGTGCTATAGCTACTTAATGCTATTGTGGAGCCCAAAGTACAATTGGGGAGAAGGCATTTGGTGTAGGTATAATCGGGTGTAAGCTGTCCAACAAGATCCTCTTTGGTTCCTTTTTCTTGAAGATTGCTGAATCGTATCTGTCTATCGTACATCGTGCGATCAGTTTTTGTCAATTACTGTTTATGTTTAATTTTAAATAAAAATATTTAAATAATTTTTAATCTCTCGATGTACGATGAACTGGCATGATTCACGGATCATCGGGATCCTCACATAGAGGATCCGGACTCTTAAGCTTCTGCATGACTAGACTTTTGAGACTGATATTATGTAAAAAGAATGCTAAGGTACTCCGGCAAAAGTGAGACTCTTCATATAAATTTTTGTCACCTCATGTTTTAACGTCAATTTATGTGGCTTTGGTGGTTGGAACTCTCTTCACATACTTTTCGAGCTAAGCTCATAGACGGTCATATCTTTAATACTCGGGGTTAACCTCTTTTAAGCCCCTTTGACCTTGAGCTTCTCAATCTCTCTTGAGCTTTGCGTGGAGTCTATTCCGACTTGCGCCATTATGTGAGCCCAAAGGTGCCCAACATAAACACCTTTGCTTTTTTAGTTTCTTGTTACATTTGAGATTGGTATTTTGTAGTTTCAAATATTTTGTTTTGAAGTATTCTACTATTCAGATACTGTACTTCATATGTATTGAACATTCTTTTAGCTCGAATGAATGACGCCGTTTATTTAAAAAAATGTTCACATAATTAATTTGTAAAAATCATCTGTCGTTAGTGTAGTACTCGTGAAAAGGACCACACCTCAATTAAATCCAAATCTAATAATTAAATTTTCTTGAGAAAAGGAGAAGATATTCTTTCGAGATCTTTTTCATCAAGATCACTGGATCAATTAATTTTAATCTTTGAAATTTTATCAAACGGTAAAAAATTATTATATCTTTTAAAGGGTTAAAACAGGTAGGCCGTTGAATGAAATTTCAAAGGTCCGAATTACTTAATCCGATGATCTTGATGGAAGAGATCCGAGAAAAAAAGAAATCTCCATTATATAAAGTAGTTTAACGGATTACAATTGGATTTGGGCATGATCTTCGATAATTCTTATAATTTTCATTTTTCTAAAAGAGAAAATTGACAACCAAATGAGTCATACCCCAACTGCAAAATAAAACAAGAGGTTTCAAATAAAAACAAACTTGTTTATTTCATACCGATGTAATTATTATTTTTATACAAATATACCGTACTTATAAACCATAATATTTTTCCGTTTCAATAAACAGTTCATAATTGTTCACACCCCAACACTAAAAAAAATACAGTAAAAGAATTGATTTTTCAGTGTGCATGTTACACTAACTGACATAACACAAATAGTTGGATATAAAAAAAATAATAATTCAACCATTTTTATTAGGGAGTTTTAACGAAATACTCCCGGTACTGTTCACTTAACGAAAAACCACATTTTTACACTAAAAAAATCAATAATTGTACTATTCACTTATAAAACACTTTTTTGTTATTTTCGTTAAAATTCAAAAATTTCAAACCATTTTTATTAGTTTTTCTTTTTTATTATGACTATTAATGTACCGGATCAGTTTCGACATTGAAAATACGTGTTAACGGTTACTAAACTTGTTCTAAAATAATAAAATTCGTTTTCGTTCAAGGAAAACTAATGAAAAGGGTTTGAAAACTTTAAGTTTTAATAATAAGGACAAAATAAAGGGTAAAATGAATAGTACTAGGATTGACTTTTTAGTGTTAAAATATAGTTTTTCGTTAAAATAAACAGTACCACGTGTTTTTCGTTAAAACTTTCTTTGATTTAAGGAATATCCCCCCTTTTTAAATTATTTCTTGGAGGTTCTTCCGGAACCAAAACCAATTTTCCTAAATTGGGCTTTTTTTCCACTTCCGCACACTGAAACCTAAACAAAAACAAACAGGGGTATTTGCGTCATGTCACATAACGTGTACCGTACATCGTAGCCGTCCAATTTCCGGGAAATTCAGTAAATTTACACCCTTACCCCACCAAACCGAATATTCTTCGGAGTATTCCACTTCGTCTTCCTCCTATAAATCTTCAGAACCCCAAAGAAGCTGCAACAACAAAAAAACCCGAAACTTCACCACCCAAACACGGCCTTAATCGAAAAATCCCCCCAAATGTATGACACATTGAAGAACTCCTACCAGCTCTTCGAAGAAATTGGCCGCGGCCGGTTCGGCACGATCGTCCGAGCCTTCTCGCCGGACTCGGCCGAGTTCGTCGCATGCAAGATCATCGACAAATCGGTCCTTACCGACGAAATCGACCGCGCGTGCCTCGAGAAGGAGCCCAAGATAATGACCCTTTTGTCATCGCATCCCAACGTTCTCAAGCTCTTTAACGTCTTCGAGACCGAGGACTCGCTCGCGATGGTGCTCGAGCTCTGCGAGCAGGAAACGCTCTACGACCGGGTCGTGGAGCGCACGCTCTCGGAGCCCGAGGCCGCCGCGATCATGAAGCAGCTGCTCGAGGCCGTCTCGCATTGCCACCGCCTCGGGGTGGTTCATAGGGATTTGAAGCCGGAGAATGTTCTGTTTGATTCGAGGAACAATTTGAAGCTCGCGGATTTCGGGTCGGCGGAGTGGGCCGGCGACGGCGGGGTCATGGAGGGCGTGGTCGGGACGCCGTACTACGTTGCGCCCGAGGTGCTGATGGGCAGGGAGTACGATGAGAAGATCGATGTTTGGAGCGCCGGCGTGATGATGTACATAATGCTCAGCGGGATTCCGCCGTTTTACGGCGAGTCGGCGACGGAGATCTTCCAGGCGGTTTTGCGAGGGAATTTGAGATTTCCGCCGAAGGTCTTCCGATCTGTATCGCCGGCGGCGAAGGATCTGCTGAGGAAGATGATTTCCAGAGACGTTTCCAGAAGACTTTCTGCTGACCAGGCACTTAGTAAGTTTCCTACTTTCTTCTAATTTTCTAATTTATTTGGTTGAATTTAATCCAAAATTCCATCTTGTGATTTGGGTTTTTGCTCTTTTTTTTTTTTTTTTTTTTTAAATTTTATAAATCAAGATTTTTTGTTAAATGTTAAATTTTGTAGATTTTCACCGGTCAATAACTTGAAAATTGATTTTGAAATTTCTCTTTTGGGTTTGATAGGAGCGATATTTTACTTTAAACTAATCGAAATCGCAAAAACCAAAATTCGAGCTATGATTACTTATGAAGTTTATTTCTTTGTGAAAAATTTCAGGGCACCCATGGATCTTAAGTGGTGGAGAAGCAAATCCAATTGACTAAAATCTGACTTTTGGGTCAGTCATGTCAATGAACCAAATCCAAGTACATAGATCCTAAATCCTTGTCATCCAATCTATGTGAATACGAAGCAATCCCACTTTCCTCTCTTAAAAAACGGAAAATCCTGTCGTCAATGGATCCAGGAAACCCCTCTTCCTCTCAAGAGCTCTTTAGCTAGGAAGCAGAAGTAAATGGAGAAAGACTTGCATGGAACGACGTCACAGTAGAAGATTGTAGAATATGAGATGGATCAATCAGTCTTTTATGAAACGAGTTCACCGTCAAGCAGAAGATGATCGGTTCAATCAGTCTTTTATGGAACGAGTTCACCGTCAAGCGTGGAAGCCTAGCGTGGAAGCCTGTAGATGTGGAGAGAGAATCTTGAGAATGTAGATAGAAAATGGGGTTTATGGGGATCCTTTGTCTTTCCCCGCCTTCTCTTGTATTTTTTTTTTTCGGTCAGAGAGAGAGTCGGAAGTGAGAAAGCAAACTACTCCCATATAGCCTATGTGCTACCTTTTAAGTTAAAATCGATGTTTTGTGTACCAGAAACCTTGTACGAATCCGCGGAATGTGAGTGTTCAACTCGGAATCTGAGGAATAAGTTCGTGTTGTGTTTACGAAATGTAATGTGAGTGTTCAACTCGGAATTTGAGTTTTCTTTTGAGGAATGCTATTTATATTATGTTTTTGTACCATATTTTCATATTGGCATTATCAATCTGAATTAATCAGATTTTTTAATTTAATTTATTAATTTTTTTTTAATTATTATTTTATTAAATAATTTTTAATTAAATTAAAAATTCTGATTAATTTGAATGATGTGGCTGTTGACATTAGATGTCACCTAATAGATGGTATGGAAATGTGATACAAAAACGTGATTTGAATAACATTATTATTTTCCTTTTCTTTTATAGTGGTGGATTTAATTTTGTGTTGTGGTTGCGAGTGCACCGCCGTATACGGCCGGCCGAATGTAAGAATTTTTCTATATAGTATATGCCCCTAAATATCCTTGTGCAAATGTACTATATTTTGTGCAGGCATGTTATAGCATATGCTTTAAATCAAGGATACTCAACGCTCCCATTAATCACATGAAAAGTTGACATGGGTACACAGTTGGAAGTTCATACGCAAATTATGCCACAAAAATTGAAATATACCTAATAGGGGACCCATAATAAACGGATGTTTTGACTTTTTAATGATATTTTGGATGCATGTTAGGCAGTTGATTTAGCTAGATCAGTGTGCTCACTCTTCTATGTTTCTTTGCACCTAAGTTTTCTTAGTCATGGTAGTATACGTTTGTTTGGACCTATCTTTCATTTCTATTTAGTGAATGATTAGAGCAACTTTTACATTAGGTGGGATTACGTAGCATCGAGTGAGACTAAAGTATATTCGCATATTTTGTTCAGAGTTGTCGTTGAAATGACGTGATCAGACATCTTTTCGTGATCATTCCCTTATCAAAATGTATATCAAAAGAAAACTTTCATGACACAAATACATTGTCGTTATGACACTAAGGAGGATTACATAGAGTATGGTGAGACCATAGTATACAAGCTTGTTTTGCTTGAGCTGCTGTTGAAATGACATGGTCAGACATATTTACGCAACTATTCCCTTGTTAGAAATGTAGATCGAAAGAAAGATTCGCATTACACAGTACGCTGCTATTATGACACTAAGTAGAATTACGTAAAGTCGAGTGAGATCAAAGTATACAAACATGTTATGTATGAGAAGTGTTGTTGAAATGGCATGGTCAGATATTTTTACGCAATTATTTCCTTATCAAAATTGCAGATCAAAATAAAAACTTACCTAACACAAATACACTGCCATTATTAAAAATATACAAATATATGTCATTGAAATGGCGTGATCAGGCATTTTTACGCGATTATTCCTTATCAAAAAAAAAAAAAAAAAAAAAAAAAAACTTATCTAACACAAAGTACACCTCGGTCGTGACGTCTCATCGATGTTCTCACAGGGGCAGGCTGCAAATTTCAGAAATGTCATTACGGAATCTAGCAAAAGAGATGAATATGTATCCAAGTGTCCTTATTGGAAGGAACCAGCTCAAGTGAGCTGGCCAACGTATATGGAATCCACCCACCATTTAGCCTTGCTGCAGTCTACAACTCTACATCTGAAGGAAGAGGATAAATTTTTAGTTGCGACAGAACAATAGATGATGCATTACGTGTTTTTATGTAAGTGGTGAAATTTTTTAATTTTAAAGTTATTAACCTTTTAACACATATATCCCACCATTTATATAGGGATGTGCCATCCACACATCCCAAATTACTTCTCACACACCCTTTATTAATTTATGTCTGTTGATCTTCTTTAATTCATCCAATCTGATGGTCGAAAATTAGAAGAGTGTGTGAGAAGTAAAATGGATATCACACCCTTTTATATAGGGACACGTGATGTACCACCTTGTGTGACGGTCATACTGAAAAATCTCTCATTGAGGTACAAATTACAATATAATTTTTTTTTATGGTCAGAACCAAAAAAATGAGAAATGTTATTGACACTTTAAAAATCTCATTCTACACTTCTCACAAGCGTATTTTTCTTTTTAAATATAAAAAGTTTAAAGTATAGAATGAAAATTTTGAAATGCTAATAATAATTCCTAAAAAAATTATAAACAAGACAAAGATTAAACGATTAATTATCCAAATCCCAACAACACTGTCTCCGTAGAAGAACCTTGGATGAGGTGGCAAAACCTCAATAATGTTGAAATTGGAGCCTCGTAATTATCGGACTAGGATTCTTTTTTCTCTTCTTTTCATCTCATTCCATCATCTCCTCTTATATTATTTATTTTATCTTTCTGTTTCTATAAAAAACAATATAAGATGTTGATGTAGCTTAACCGTGGCAGTTCAAATAGGAGGGAAGACAAGGGGGAGAAAAAAAGAGGGCAGATAATCCTACTTCATAATTATTTGAGTACTTAATTAATTGTTTAATTAGATAAAGGAATCTCTTTGGATTCTAACCGTTCATCATACATTATGTAGTTAGTTTTCGTTAAATATTATTTTTGTTTAATTTTAAATAAAAAAAATTAAATAATTTATGATCGTACAATACACGATAAATAGTTAAGATGCGGGATCCGAATGGAATCCAATTCCGTTTAATTAATTAATCAAATCAGTGTGTACGGGTTTAGGTAAATTATAGTTGGAATCACGAGGAGGACACTTGGCAAGTATGATCTGATCAGTCACCCATCATATCAGTTTAATCTGGTCTTCTCGATCAATGTGCAGTCAACTGCACTGCCCCCCACCCCCCCCTCCAATGTGGTTGGACTTTGGATGCACACCATAAACTACTGTGTGCATCTGTGCGTGATATGATAAGTTCACGTGGATATACCATATATCTCCTTCACTGAGTCTCTGTGTGCTTCCGTAATTGCTTCGTACCACCTTCTGTTTTTTCTCTCTTTTTCCTTCTAAACCAAAGAGTGAGTTTGGGGGCTCCTTTTGCGGGGATTCAATTGAACTTGCCTCAGGTGATATGCCGGATTCAAGAGTTGAGGAATAGAATAAGAGGAGGAATTTATCACCTTTATTTCATTCAGTATAGATAATATCGTTTATTTTTAAAAAAAAATTAACAAATTAATAACTTAAAAAGACAGATATCCGTATTGTGAGGCAAAAGAGCCAATTGTCTTGTCTTACCTCGCCTTTTCTAGCCTCTCCTTCTTGCCTTTTTTACCTAGCTCTTGTCTTCTGACTTTTCGTCTTTCTATATGTTAGGGATACTACATTTTTCTGAACAAATCTATATTAAGGAGGGAGGGCGCATGCTTAGTTTCATAATAAGCTAACAATAATATGGTTTAAATTTGCCTTTAATGAGAATCGAACCTAAGATTTCTCACTTGCAAGTGAAAAAAAAATATCACTAGGTCGTAGTACTAAGTGGTAGAGATACACATTTGTAGACCATATTTTAACTACCTCTTTAATATACATAGAGTCAACTATATAAATAGGTATTATATCTATTAAAGTGACGATTTAGATGTGATTTACAAAATATGATATCATTAGTATTTTTCATTTTTTTTTCTTTTTTACCATTTTATGTTGTATGGTATGGACTAAAGTAAGAGAGAGTTGAATATGTGGTTAAGGATTTAGTGTTCAAGGATTCAATGACCAAAGATTCGGGTGTATACTATATTTCAGTGCATTTATTAAAATAACTTGTAATAAAATATGTTTTGCAAAATGATGAATGATTTTTCTAAGGTGACAATCAGTGTACTGAGTACTACAAATTGGACGATATTGTTGAGTGAGCCTCACAAAAAATATCGAATTTCTACCTTAAAAAATAGGATTAACTATAACAAAATCTCAAATTTCTTTGAAATGAATGTCAAAATCGAGCAAGGAATTAATGAAAAGAAAAAGAGGTCAACAAATTTGCAATATATTCCTATATACATCTCCTCAAAAATAATTTTGAGACATGTGCAATTAGGTATAAACCCACTCATATAATTTGTTTCTTTATATAAAAGCAAATGTATGTGACTAAAGTGGGTGGCAAATTGGCAGTGTGGAGTAGGTATCTAATTGAAAGACACATTGTCCTACCTACGCTCAAGCGAGTTTGGATTGATGCTGCCAAATGGGGCATCATACTCATAGAAACTAGATTCAGATAGGACTTATATAGAACATGTTTATCGTCACGTAACGTTTTATGTTCAATAATACATTGTCATATGTAAGTTTTTTTCCACATAGTAATGTATTATTGAATTAGGATACCACATGACAGTAAATCTTTTATATATAAGTTCTTCTCTTCATATACAACAGCTTTATTTTCTATGAAATAAACTATGGCACATGACAACTTCATCTAACACTTATAACGTGATTAAAAGACGTATTATGCGGTTGTAAAGCTTTTTGCATAACTACATTTTGTATGGCTCATTACGTGATTGTCATGAACATACAGAAACAAAGACTAGTGAGTGACATGTAGCTTATCTCCTAAGTAAAGCGATATGTTCTCTTGCTCCCCTAATTTGTGTGGAATTCGAGAAACGTTGGCCATCCAATTCCATTTGTTTGTGAGAGGAAAACACAAATTTGGTCATCCCTTACGTATGGACTGGTTCTTGCTGCGTGGGCCACCAACAATGTTTGTCATCACTGACGTGTGCATGTACGTTATAAATCAAAACTTTTTATTCTGTTTTAATTTAAAATAAATAGTCGTTTTCGTGTTCATTGGTCACATCCGAGTTTAATTCTGTAGCACCGCCCCAAAACTCTCCCAAATAAAAGGACTGATATAATACAGCTGCAGAAAGATAAAAAGAAAATTGATGAAGAAAATTTCAAAACTTTAACAATAAAGATAAAATAAATAGTATCAGAATTAATTTTTTTAATGTAAAAATATGATTTTTGGTTAAAATGAACAGTACCAGAAGCTTTTCATTAGAACTCTAAAAAATAAAATTCAAATTACGGACAAATTAATGAACGTTAATTTACCAAACGCATTATCTCTCTTTGTTTTTTTTTGGATAAAATTTTGATTTTTGCTATTGAATTTATCGCCAAACTGCTATAATTTGACTCAGAACCTTATTAAGAAGTCGTGCTT